TCAACCGTAGGGAAGGAAGGGGCAGGCCAGCTAGCCTAGCACTAATACTAGCTAAATAACAAACGATTCAATTTCTGGGCGTTTTTAAGGTTATAAGGAGCACAGCCAAAACTCTACTGCCAGTTTTCTTATCAGATTTCCTAGTTCTCATGTTGCCACCTCCGTATATCTTTTACCTTCACACTATGCTAATAAGTCTGTTTTTTCCTCCCCACACATTACCATTAAGCCCACTTCCGACTACTTCATTATAACCGTGCGTCTATATCAAACAGCTTGCCCAATGACACCGTGATTTTCTATCTTTGGAATAACCATATGTCTATTTCCATACCCATTCATGATTCAAAATGATGCAATCTTCCAGTTAGCATCCATCAATTGTTCGTAAGCAGCTCCCCAGGAGTATTTGTTACTGGCAGTTGTTAAGCATGGCGGGCCACACGAAGCTGTGTGCCATTGTTTCCATTTCCTGACTGGAGGACAAGGCAAGTAATCCCAGCGCTAAGATTAACTCTGGGTGATTTTAAGTTTGGGCCTGCAAATGCTTATACCTACAGCTTTGAAATTCTCGTTTGTTGAACCACCTTGGTAATTAAGTTCAGTTGACCTCTGGTGATGACAAGCGCGTGCAGCTGGGGGACAGGAATAGTTAAACAAATTGCCTTGAGTACATACAAAAATACATGTTTTTAATACTATTTAGCATGTTCTCCGTCACAGCTGTTAACTTGGCTTCCTATATTTTTCTTCTCTTTCCAGTATTCCTTTTCTGCGTTCAGTTTCATTTTGTGTCCATTTCTTTTTCTTTCCATATTCATAAGATCTCTTTTTCTATTCATTCCACTACCAGTGAACCTTTATCTCTTCTGAGAAATGACTTAGCCCTGACAACCCTTTAAGCAAATATTCACTATAATATACCTTGTTATTACTTGAAATTTAATCTCTTTGGCAAAGTTTATTTCAGATAGGTCTTGCTTTTTCTTCGTATTTATTTCACACACCTTTTAGTATAACATTTTAGGAATGTTGTGAATGGCCTCAGACAAGTATTATCTCTGAAACAGGACAACAACCATGTTAATAAAATCAGAGGTTGCTAAGAAAGAAAACTGGGGAGGGTAAGTTATTAAACAAAAAACAAAACCACAGCAAACCTGTTATGCTTTCCCTTCTGCTTTTGCATGGTTCAAAGGCAGGGCAGAAGGGTTGTGTGGTGCGTAACCAAATGATTTGCCTTGCCACTTGGTTAACATCTGTGCCCAGATTCACGAGTTGCCCTCTGTGTTGCTGCACAGGTACATGCTCACCTTTGGAGGCACTGTAGCCTCTGGGAACCTGATGTTTCCATATCTATGCATTATTTTATCCATTTCATGGAGGGCAGCTGTAAACATAAGACTGGCAAACTTGCCCGGAGAGCTGCAAGAAAAAAGCGCAAGAAGAGGCGACAGGAATTTTGAGAGTTAAATGTTACTACAAAGAGAATGCTTTTTTTTTTCTTTCTTAGGGGAAGAGGTGTGACTTGCAGCATGAATGCCCTTCAGATAAACGTCAGTATGATGAACTATCAACACTCACTGCAATTTTTTCCTGGAATGCCCCACCCCAGCAGAATTCCATTTTCTGCCCAGGTAACAAGTGAGAGCTTGTGGCGGTCTCTTCTTCATTCAAATGAGACACTCTCAAAATAAACTTTAAGAGGCAGGCAAATCGCTGTTGTCGCTCTATCAAAGGAGCAGCATTTGCACACCAGTAAAAACTTGCATTGTGAAGTGCTTGGTTTTGGCACACAGTTTGAGGAACACGTACCCACAAAAAGAAAGGAAATAAAGATTAACCTACCTAACCATATTTATCCCCTTTTCATTCACTATTGCTCCTACTCAGTTTTCTGCCAGTTCTGTTCAGTGTGAAACTCCATATATGCAGGCACAGTACTTAGTTCTTCCCAGCTCGAGTTATGTATCCTTTTGGGGTTTGAGGCCCTGGTGAGGTAGAGGTATTGAAACAATAGTCTAGTTTAAGCACAGTGGTCATATCCTTACTGTCACAGTCACACTGAAATAGTGTCTGTGGATAGAATATTCTTTGTATCTTTGTATTATCTCATGTTATGGTATGCCCAACACACAGAGGTATATAGCAGACCTAGTAACAGAAATTAGAAACTTGAGGCAGCAACACAGTCCCTGATCTCAGCAACAAGGTAGACACTTAGACACTTAGAACTTAGAAGATGCAAATTTGTCTTTTATTCCTTCAGGGAGGCAGCTGGTCGATGAATGGGGAGCCAGGCTCTGGTTCCTAGGTCTGCACTGAAATTTCCAGTTCAACCACAACTTCCCGAATGATCTTAATCTCGTCACTTAATTAATCTGGTAGATCTGTTTACAGTTTGTAAAGTAAGAATACATGCTTTTTCTATCAGAGAGCAATTGTGTAGGTAAAATCCCTTAACTGCTGCAAGGAATTAAATGTTTTTAGGACTCTGAGAAGCTGTTGCTGGATTTTTTTTTTTTTTTTTTTTTTGGTCGCTACTGAACTTGCAGGCCCCGATTAGACAAACGCCTTTTGGAGCAGGCAGAATTTCCTGTTTTGTGTCACAGACAGACGTGCTGCTCTGGCTTGAGCGGCTGTGAATTTGCAGGTGAAAGTGGCCAGCTGCTTGCGACTGGTTTAAAATCAGTAGAGTTGTGTCTGTGCAGATACTTACGGGAAGCAACTACACTGCTTAAGAGCTACAGCTTTAAAATTAACGGTTTAATGATTAGTTAACCGGTTGCGCCATCTATGTTTAGACAAGTCCTATGTTAATGTGCTCAGTCATCTCTCAAATGATACAGTGAGACTGCCCTCACTGGAGTTTAAATTCTTAACCATGGGCTTGTCTGCAGTGACCATGTCTGCCATTGGGGACTACTAGTAAAGTTCATATTAAAATAGTGGGGGAGTCTTGAATGTACCGGACAGGAGAATCAGGCAGTCATTCTCTAGAAAGAAGAGTCACTTCAAGGTAATTTTTCCCCAGACCACTACCTTTTTCACCAGCTGCTTTTTCAAGTAGTGTGTTTTCATGTCCCATTTTCTTAAGTGCTGGGCATTGTATGATCGGGTGCTTCCATTTTAGAAGTCCAATTCTTCTGCTTATTGTCCCCTCTGCACAGCCTTTCTCACTGTTTCAGCTTCAACTGAATGAGCATCGCTTTCAGTAAAGACATGTTGAAGATCAAGGAACCATAGCATCAACACTGTTCTTATGAGAGGCACATGCTGTCCCTCAAACATGATGAAGGGGAAAAAGATTTTGGCAGACCCATCTTGGATATTTCCTTCACATGAAAGCCCTCCTCTGAGTTTTCATCAGAAAAAAAAAAAAAAAAGAGGTGATTCAGGTCTTTTTAGAATTTCTTACAAGCGTATACCACACAAATACCGAGCTAACCACTTGCAAATACGGTTGCTGCGTTTGCACTTATCAGAGTCGCTCTTTGTTTGTGGCAAATGAAGGGTTCTGCACACATCCAGAAGTACTTGCAAATACCAAGCATGCAACTAGGTATCATTTTCTTTTCAAATTAGCAGACTCAGTTTGAACTGACTCTGAATTCAGCAATTCTTTTGCTTTGCCTTTGATACTGTTCCCTCAGCGTTTTCCCCTTCACCTTCTTTCAAAGGATGGAGCGCACATCCACTTATGCCATGATACCAGCTCTTAGGATTGTGCACAAGGGGCTTATTTATGACCACAAAAGTCAGCTCCCCCTCCCTATCACCCTCAGTGACATCAATGCATTTTCAAGGGTAGCGACAAATATCCTCAGCTTATTTACTGCTATGGCACAGCCTACTCACTAGCTGATGTCCAAAATAGGTACCTCTTAGAAGGAGAGATAAGAGTCAATTTAACTAGTCAGCCTTGATTCTCAATCACTTTTGCAACCACTTCGAAATCACAATTTTGGCTCCTTTCTCGTTTCTGTTGGTTAGAACAGTCACTTGGAAAGGGACAGCTATTCCCAGGGCTTAGAAGTGTCCTTATTTTTCACGCAACAGTCTCTGGATAAAATACAGAGAAAGTCTTTGGACCAGAAAAGAAAAGCCTGCACTGTTTCCAAATGAGGCTCCAGCTGCACCTGCTTAGAGCATTGCACTTTCTTGGCACAGTCAATTTTGACTTCCAGGTACGTCCACGTTGAGGCAGAAGCTAAAGAGACATTTTCAAGATCATAACTTCATACCTGTTCCTTGAATGGGTCTGGGGCTTGTCTGAGTATTTAACTCTCCACTTCAGAGGCTGCTAGCCAAAGGAATGCTCTGCATTTAAGAGTATGAGATGTAAAGAGACAGATTTGCCAAGGGAATTTCCCAGAGGCCCAAAAAACAGGGAGGTATCCAGCCCTCATTGGTTTTCAGGTCTGTCCGTTACTCAAATGAGGTGCATTTCAAAGCATATTTTAGAGCAGGTTATCATCTTGGAAAGGTACTAAGTTGATAATTATTTGAAGTTGGTTGTGGGGAGCAGAGGGAGTTTGCAATTCATTACTGACTCCAGAATCACTCAGCAGCAACACATTGGTGGGAGTCAGGGAGATGAATGAGCTGCTCATGAAGCTATTTTAAAAACATTAAAGGCATCTGTTAAACTGTTCTTCATTGGCAGGTTTTGTTTTCAATTCATTTTTAACACACCTCCAGTCAAGCTACTGCAGATTTTGCAGCATTTTTTTTTAATTTAATTGGTGTCCCAGAGATGGTTTTGAATTCTGTGCATGCCCTGTGAGTGGCTGTCTGGGTCCTCTTCCAAGTTGGCTCCCACAGCGAAGTGTGGAACTTAACAGCTTTGCTTCATGTGACTGCAATTATTAAAGGACCACTGCCACACACTGGTAAACTTTGAAATATATCTTTTTCACAGAATCATAGAAGAGTTAAGGTTGGGAGGAACCTATGGAGACCATCTAGTCCAACCTGCTCCAGCAGGATAATTGAGATAGATAGAGCACTTTGCCCAGGATTGTACCCAGATGGGTTTTGAATAGCTCCAAGGATGGAGACTCCACAACCTCTCTGGGCAACGTGCTCCAGTGCTATGGCATCCTTATAGCAAAGAAGTTTTCTCATGTTGAGATGGAGCTCCCTGTGTTTCAGTTTTTGCCCACTGGCTCCTGGTCTGTCACTGGCCATTACTGAAAACAGTCTGGCTTCATCCTCTTTACATCCTCTCTTCAGATACATATAAACATCGATAAGATCCCTAATTTTCCTAAAGTCCCACTGACATTTTTTTCATCCATGATTTCCATTTCCCCGATGATTTGTGTGGAAACAAGTTTTCCCTATTTTCTGAACTCTATTTTCACCTCTGTCTGATGCAAACCAGAGGTGCTGCACAATCCACCCTGCAGGTGACATCAAGATTCATCATCCAAAGCAGCTGCTGTGTCATTACATGAGGACTGAGGGGGCCAGCAGGAGAAGAGAACTGGCTATAGCACAGCACACTGAATTTTTACACACAAATACTCTCGCAATAAATTAGCAGTGACTGGGAAAGTCATAAGGGGGAGGCTATGACTGTCATGGGGCTCTGATTTTATAAAGACCCTCTGGTTTTATGAAGATGAGCAGGTGAGGCTCTTCAGTGTCTCCTCAGCTTCTAAGAAAGCCCTGGTGCCATACTGTGGGGATAGTACCACGTATTCCAGGGTGGCTTTCTGCAGAAGTCTCCCCAAGGCTTTCAGTGATGTCTTTGCATGATTTTCCCTGAAAACATGATTAAACTTCTATTAGAGAAGCAGACACTAACTGGCAACAAAAATATCACTGAGGCTTTGGGTTCAGCTTGTGCTGACACTTCTAGGAGTCAGAGAAGGCCAAATTTTCCAGCGACTGGTGGGTCTAAAGAGTGGGGCCACGGTTTCTCTTCAGTGCGTCAGCTCCACGATCTTCTTCTTCCACTCTGGCAAGAGCAGTGACATTATGGCCTAAAACACAAATCTGAAATGGCAATAGATCTCCCTTTTACGAGCATTGGCAAATGGTTTATGTTGGTGGTTGCAGAAGTTTGTTTTGGTTGCTTCTGATACTGTGGGTGTCCTGGTTACATAAGGCTATTTTGTTTTTTGATTTTTCCAATTGGACTTTTTTTTATCCTACCATAGAGAAATGCTCAAGATCTTTCACCCTCCGTAACAGAATCTCTCAGGGCTGTCTGCTGTGGTCTACAGTAAAAATTTGGTTAGGAGTTAGTGGAAGTTAACAGGACTGCAATGGACTTTAGATCCTGTTTAAAATATTATCACTTTCACATCTATTTTAAAACAGTTTCAGATATATTCTGTAATAATCCTGGAATTATTTTTTTCCCGTAGGTGATCTGTTTGAGGTTGAAAACACTTCTTTGTCCTGCTTGGGAGGCACTTTACCTCATTTTAAAAAAGAATTTACAAGCTACAGGTGCTTCTTGCAGTGAAACCCAGACTTAAATATGCTTTCCTATATTTTTGTTCACTAATTAAACAAAACTGCTTATAACAGCACCCCATATCTTATTAAATCTGCCTCTCACTCAGAAAGCTTTTCCTCTTCTATAAAGGTAAAAGTATTTTTTTGAAATGATTGACGTAAAAAAAATCTGATGGGAAGAGCCCTAATTTATCATGTCCTAAGAATTCTAATTCTGCTGACTCACAGGCAGAGAGAGACCCTCCCCTGATTCAGGGTGGGATATACTAAACTGTGAATGGAATACATTCCTAAGAATGTTAGCAGCCAATGTTTTTATTAATTTCTAAAGCCTTGCAATGGGGCATTTTATTTCATTTGAATAATAAAAAAGATACCACCACTATCACTATACCCTTTGCTTCTTTTCGTATTTCTCACCTAATATCCACCTCCCAGTGCCCCTGCCACAGTCTCTTTCATGATCACGACCCAGCAACTGATGCTGTGCTGCGGCACATCTTTCTCAGTTAATCGTTCACATGCAGCTTTTGGCTAATAACTGGGGTCAGTTAAAGACACTGTGTTTTTTTTGTTGATGTTGTTACAGCATTTTATGACAACAAAAGCCTTGATATAGACTCAACCCTTCAAACACAGGGAAGATTTGGTTTTGTTTATCTTGTTTCAGTCATCATATGTGCAACATATATTGGCAAAACCTCTTTTGCCAGCGCATACCCTCTGCACCCAGAGGGCTGCCCAATGTAGTCATTCTGGCAAAACTCTTAAGTCTAAATACTACCCCAAACTCTTAGATCGCAAAACCATTTGCTGGAATCTGTGAAGCTCATATGCCTGAGCTCTGTGGGTGTCTTTTCCCCTCCGATTTAGTAATTTCAAGTGGACACACAGCTTTTCTGCAGCATATGAGAGACAACCAGCACTCCTTTACTGAAGACTGTAATTTTTCCTACTTAATACCTTTTCTTTTTGTGAGGGTGGAGGTGGAAAGCAGCTCGTTCTTCATTTCTAAAGTGACTAGCTTGCAGGGTTTGCTGTAGTGAGCATCCGACACTTACTGCAGCCCCTTCAAAGGGAACACTGCTGCATGCTTGTTTGCTGCTGCTTGTTTTTGTAATGATTTCTGTGAGTTCATTTGTCCTTTGCACTGAATTTTTACTTATCTTCAGAAGAATTTTCGTTGAAGTGTGTTCTTTCATTTTTCACCCATTTGTGGTATAATTCGGGCACTTAAGTAGGCTGCCTAATAATGTTGTCCTTTGCACTGAATTTTTACTTATTTTCACCCATTTGTGGTATAATTTGGGCACTTAAGTAGGCTGCATAATAATTAATTAGAGCTGCCTAATAATTTAAGCAGACAATACATGGGAAGTACATTTTCTTTAGAAATTCATTTAGCCTCAAAAGTCAACGTATCAGTAAAGAGCTTGTCCCGGAGCATTGATATGACAGAGCCCAGTTTCTTTCAAGAGCATAGACAGAGCTCAGAACACAGGTTACTAGGAAGAACACCCACAAGTAAAGTGCATAAACATCCAAAACACCCCAAAATGCTCGTAGCCCAGATAGCCCAACTGCCGAAAGCGGTGACCACGGCCGTGTTTTCCTTCCCTGGGAAAGAACATTTTGAATGCAGACAGGTTCTGCTGGGTACAGTGTCTGAGGACACTTCTTGATGAGGAGAACAATGATAGATATGATAGTTTGGGTTTGTCAGGTGGCATTTGCAGGGAAGAATTTGTAATGCTTAAACACCTGCCAAAATATTTAGACTCTTTGCAGGCCAAAGGATTGAATGTAGTCTTTCCTAGCAGCTCATCCTTTGGCCTTCGTTATTGTTGCCTGCTGTATTTCTTACTAAACTAGTCCAAATTTACAAGCAGTGATGCCAAGGTGCAGTGATGCCTGCCAAAGATGCTTGTGTGCTCCACCTTTCACAAACTTGCAGAATGCTGGAGCCTGTAAGAAACAGACAGGGAGCGCTCGATGCGCAGGGTGGAGGAACACAGGCTGATCAAAACCACAGGACTGGAGACTCACAGAAATGGGCGGCCAGGCACCTAGCCCAGCACAGCCGTGGTGAGGAGCATCAATCCCACTCTACCAGCATCAAGTGCAGGTGCTGGTCTCTTCTACCCAGTCTCCATTACCTTGCCACAGGAATCATCTCCTGCTTGTCTTCCTATGTGAAGTGTTGATCTCCTTAGGTCCTTTGCAGCATGCTTGTTACTGCTATATCCCACAACCCACTGGCTCCAATTAATCTGCAAGGTAACATGGGTGATGGTAGCGTTCTATGTAGAAACCCTAAGCTGTTTATCCTATTCAAGCTTCTCCTTAACAGCCTTCTCCTCCCCTCTCATTTCACTCCTTTTAGCTTCAGGATTTCTCGCTCTGTCTTTGGAAGCATCTGAAATCACCTCCCAGAGGAAGGTACTGGCAGATGCTCCCACGATATTGTTGTTGAACTTAGCAGTCAGTAAATCCTGCCTCGGTTCGGCGCTGCGTCTCTGCTGTCTGCTTGCCTGCCGTGCTAGTTTCTAATCCTTTCTGTAGTCTCATCCCTTTTACAACACCCGCTTTACCTATAAAGCTCAGAAATCCCTGTCTGTCCTGAGGATATTAAAATGCCAAATAACAAATTGCTGCTGTTATGCTCTGTGCTAGGACCCTTCTCCGCATTTCCAAAGGCATTTTTATGACTGATATTGCATTTACTGGATTGAAAGTTGCTTAGAGCAGAAAGCCCATTTGCCTTCACTTCTCACACCAGCACCTAACGCAGTGTGAGCCCTTGCATAACTATGAGGGAACGTGCTTGGCAGAGAAGGGATTTCTCACCTTCCTGTTCTGCAGAGTTCGGCCCTCGCCACTGGAGAAGGGGCCTCCCAGAGCTGGCCTCAGGCACAGACTGCACTGCTTCACCTCAGCTCTTCCCTCTTAGCCTCTGTGGCCCCCTTTCTGCGTCTGGTCGGTGTCGCCACAAAACCTCGTGCAGCTGCTGATGTGGGCTGGCTGATGCCCTGAGCTCCTGGAGAGGCAAAAGGCCTCCAGGCTGAGATGGAAACCCAGCAGGTAGATGTGAGCCCCAAGCTTTCACAGAATCACAGAACCAGAGAATGGTTGAGGTTAGAAGGGACCTCTAGAGATCATCTCGTCCAACCCCCGCTGCTCAAGCAGGGACACCCAGAGCATGTGGCACAGGGTCACACCCAGGCAGGTTTGGAAGATCTCCAAGAAAGGAGACTCCACAACCTCTCTGGGCAGCCTGTTCAGTGCTCTGTCACCCTCACAAGAAAGTTCTTCCTCATATGGAGATGGAACTTCCTGTGTTTTAATACCCGCTATCGCTTGTCCTGTCACTGGCCACCACTGAGAAGAGTTTGGCCCCATCCTCTTTTCATTCTCCCCTCAGGTATTTATACAGCATGTAGATGTGAGCCCCAAGCTTTGTCCAGTAAGTCCCTCTTTCTGTGTAATTAAAAAAAAAAAAAAAAAGACACAAAACTCTTCTTCCAAAGCGGGATTTATTTCTTTGGTTCTTTAATTTTGGTGCTTTACAAGAAGATGCAGTTCCCTGGAGGGCAGCATGGCTGCAGGTCCACCTTTCATCCCAGTGTTGCTATTGCACAATATTAG